GTTGTTGAGGTGGAGTGCCTTTGTACGGAAGCTGGTTGCGACTGGCATGAGGAGGGGCAGGCGACAACGAAGGTCATGAAGATCAGCTTTCCAAGTATGACTCGGCCTTCTGAAGACGGACTTATTGGGGAGGCTAGGTCGACAGCGGAATCGTCTGGCGATCTTTGGGCGCTCAACCATCTTCCGGAAGTAATCGACTCAATCACATTCCCATACCACGAACAAACAACCGTTCAGGGCCGTCTGAAGAAACATCTCAAAGATGATTATGAGGAACGAGTAATGCGCGTCACGTTTTTGGACAAGCTACAACCACTTTCAGACTTGGAAGACCCGAGAGAGTTCGCGCAAGTATTCTACGATGTTCTACAAAGTACGCCACTCGCTGAATCATTATATTTACCCTTGCTCACTACTGTTCTCGTACTCCTCTAGTTCACCAGTGGCTTTACGAACGTGTTGGAATTCTTCATCGCGATCTCAGCTCCGGAAATATCATGTACAGGCGCAAGAATGGAAAAGTCTATGGCGTTTTGAACGATTTCGACCTTTCATCTCGCGTACGAGATATGGACAAGGGCCCAACCTCCAAACAACGGACGGGCACCAGACCGTTCATGTCTATCGATTTGCTGAATCCTGACTGGGAGGGCGGTCACCTCTATCGTCACGATTTGGAGTCTCTATTCTACATCATGCTTTGCCTTGCTTGTCGCTACGAGGCGCCAGGTGTAGCCGCACCTGAACCGCGACCCTATTCGCAGTGGTTCAGCGGCACAGATGCAGACGTCTTGGACAACAAATCTAATTTCCTTCTCAACGCTCTTGGTAAAGACCTACCGGTTCAAACTTATTTCTCCGGCTTCGAACGAGGGTTAGGGGACATTTTCAGAGAAATACGTGTTGGTTATATGCTACGACAACTATTCCATTCGAACCCGTCAAAACCGGGGACAAGCGAAAGCCCGACCTTTGAATGGACAACAATGAACGAGCACGTTTCCTACGCCATGATGCGCAAAATGATGTCCTCTTTCGAGGGGAGACCTCTCGAAACTCGGTGGGTCGGAAACCCAGATCATTGATTGTAATTCCTCTGCTACTTACCCTTTACCGTTGAACGATAAATGCTCTTCTGCTGTGACATTTGCTACATGTACTTGGATACTTTCATTTCAGCTATGTATAATATTGTAATTGATTGTATCATATATTCTATGTTCGGAAATGTTTATTAGGAAATTCCCGCTACCTCTTTAGAGGTAGAAGGGTCTTGTAGACCCAACATTTCGATTTTGCGATCAAATGGCTCATCACGTGCTTTTTCGTAAACACTTTTTAGTCATTTCGTCAAATTTTCTTCAGTGCTTCTACGATTGATTCTCTTCTTTTATGGGATTGACAGACAAACTTTTGTTTCGTTTCTTCTATATACTGTGGTTTTTGCTATGTATGATTATTCTATTGAATTTATTGTTTTATAAATTTTAAGCACAGCTTTGTACTTTGTATTTTAAGACTCGCAAATAGAGTAAAAGTCAACACCAAAGACAATGTCTGTAGAGAGATTGTCCATGATGAGAAGATCTAGTTGCATAGTGTACGCGAACGAGGGCCACGAAAATGTGATCACTGATGAGTGAGTGCCGGAGGAAACGATTAACGAAGAGTGTCGACGGGCACGATATAGATCCGCTTTGCAATTGCTGAATGGCCAACATCTGCAAAACCTGTATTTTCAGCTAAGGGTCCGAAAGCAGTTGAGAGCACTTCCCAGCAGTGAAAGCACCCAGAGCATGTTGCTTTCAGTGCTTTCGGCACTGGGATCTGCTGGGATCTGCTCTCAGCCCTTAGCCGAATATCCAGGTTTTGCAGATGAACTGGTGCATGTACGGGTTTATGTTCCACTGACCATACATGGTCTGATGCATTTACTGCATTCTCTGTCATATATGATCCTTCTCTGAAGCGTTGTGGACAGTATTGTGAAAATGCTGTCGTTCCTTACTTAATCCTTAGATGGTACACTCACTTTAACATCTTCAATAAACCAAACCGTTGACTGGGTAGCGGGCTCTGCCGCTCGCCGGCACTGCTTGGTTATTTAACAAGGGCTTAGGCTGGCTTAGGAACGTTAAGGTCGAGATCTTGGCACAAAAACTGAGCAAGTATAGCGGTGCAACGGAACACCGCCTTTTTCGTCTACCTTGGCTAATGGCCATCTTTTTGGCCGTTTTAACTTTTTTTGATCATCTTCGCCGCTCGAAGAGTGCACCCTGAGTTCTCTACTTTCACCTTGGACCTACCTGCCCATCTGAAGATTTTCCCCATCTTCCATGCTGACAAACTTGAAGCTTATTTCAGCAATAACGGTTCCCTGCATCTGCAAAACCTGGATATTCAGCTAAGGGCTGAGAGCAGATCCCAGCAGATCCCAGTGCTGAAAGCACCAAAAGCAACATGCTCTGGGTGCTTTCACTGCTGGGAAGTGCTGTCAACCGCTTTCAGACCCTTAGCCGAAAATACAGGTTTTGCAGATGTGTTCCCTAACCGCCGTCTCTCCAGCCAGTCAGTCAGTCTTGGAACACTGAACCCAAGCTTGTACTAACAAGAGATACTCTGCTACGAATTCAACAATCCACGTCACAGCGGCACTCTCAATCAAAATGCTTAGGTGGCTTAGGTAGAGTGTAGGTAGCCACACTGAGCCTTGAAGCTCGAACAACTGTCCGTCTAACTAAGTCTGACTTGCCATGTCCCTCCACACATAGTACTCAAGCCAGTCATGGCCAGCCCACAACCAATGTCTCAGAAATCGATTGCATTTGATCTTTCTTCTGTCATTGATCTCAGTGAGTAAGACAATCGTGAAGTTCAGTGCGTTGTTCAAAGTTCTTGTTCTTTCCTCAACCGGGATGTATACTCCCTGTTTCTCCCGTCATCTGCAACATCAGAGGCACCAAACTGGACCTAGTATAACCTTGACTTTCAACGTTAAATGTCAAACATAACTTTCATCCGCAACTCGTTCCTCGACTGCCATCCTCGCGACGACCCCTCCTCATCAACATCTCCCGGATCGATTCTGAAAAATTTGACATTTGACCGGTGACCCCCCACTTGCTCAAGTTGACTTGATGAGTGCACCTTGACCTCACAACTTGAACTTGGGTCAATTCAAAATCATCACCCGAGTCAAGTTTTCAAAACTTGACTCTGACTTAGACTATGCGGCAGCCACTAACGTGATGTCATTGATGCGATATATATATCCTTCCCGGGGCCTGGATACAGGAAAAGGTCTGCAAGTACTGGAAGAAAAGGGGGGAGGCGTTCTTTAATTTGAGGACTCGGAGGGGATAGAGCCAGGAGAAGCCAGGGAGATCTCTAACAGATGAGAAACACGATGACAAGGGGGGGAGTCGGAGATCAAAAACTCGTGGCCCGCCTAGCTCAATCGGATAGAGCGTCAGACTCTTAAACTCTTAACCTCTCTGGTTGTTTAAATTTCTGTTGTGGGGTATCTGAAGGCTGCGAGTTCGACCCTCGCGGTGGGCTATATATACATAATACATATGAAGAGTGGTGTTGTTTGTGTTTTTGTTTCATTCTATCCCGCCCTCTGCTCCGCTCCACTCTTCGGAGGTCGGTTAAGATGAGAAGAGAGGCGCATGACAGACACCTCTTTATCCTTGTAGTTTGTCACATGCATTCCCAGTTTCCACCACGGTCCGTGCTTCCAAGTACGGAATTCTCCAACTACATATCGTCTTTAAAATTATCATGCAACGAGTACATAGAAACCCCCCTAAGCGCTTAAGCAGCCACACCTAAAATCAAAACCACCAAATTAACCACCAAAACCACAAACCAAAAAAAATATATATTTCCAGAATCCATTGCTTATTGCGTTGTCCATTGCTTATTGTGTTATTCCATTGATTCCATTGATTCCATTGTGTATGATGTATATACAGACACAGTCCATTGCGGTACACAATACAGAAAAAAAAAAAGTATTTGGTATTTGGTATGATTTACAGTAATGTTATGTATGGGATAAGACGATGTGAGGCGATAACGAAAACAATGCATTATGCATTATGCATGAGGATCTATGATCAACGAGGAACAGAGGAAAGTGAGGAAGTGAGGGACAGGGGAAAGTGAGGAAACGAAACCAGGAAGTGAAGAGAGGAAGGGGGGGGGGGTATAAATGAAATATAAGTATAACCAGTCAAGGGGAGAAAGGAAATTAGGATGAGACGAGGACAGAGGAGGAAGATAAGCATGGATGGATAGTGGGATCCATAACAGGACAGGACAGGACAGGAGAGAGAAAGGAAAGAGGAGAGAGAGGAGGGGTGAGGGGGGGATTGATCAATCAATCAATCGATCGATGTGATTGAGAAACGAGAGGAAGGGGAGTACGAGGGAGGAGGAGGGTAGGGAGAAGCATAGGTAGCATAGTAGGAGGTAGGAGACATCGACAGCATTAACGAGATGATGATGACGAGACGATGATGAAAGCAAGGTAGAGAGGAAGAGAGAAAGCCATATGTGATTAACCGGAATGCATGAGCGACGACGAAACACGACGTTAGATGTTGTCGACAGGGGGAGGGATGAGGATGGAAATGCATAGTACTCGAATAGTGAAACAGGAACAGAGCAGAGCAGGGCAAAGCAGGGCAGGAGGAAGATAAGATAAGAACAGAGAGAGAGAGGGGGGGGATATAAAGATAACAAATCTTGCTGAAACCAAGACCACCAAGACCACCAATGCACAATGCACAATGCAAAAATGCACAATACGAACGCAACCAAGAAAAAAAAAAAAAAAAAGAAACGAACAAATCAGAGTTTCTGATGGTCGGTGGACCCCTTGCTTCGATGATGATCGAAACCGAACTCGATCTGGATTCTCAAGCAGTCGTCGGTATCGCGCCGAACCTCTCCCTCGTCGGCGTAGGACCGGCCCACGGCACTTGAGTTTGAGACTGAGTTTGAGGTTGAGTTTGAGGCAGAGATTGAGATTGGGTTTGTGATTGCAACATCGCCACAAACGAATCCACATCCACATCCCCATCCCCATTCCTAACCCCTGCGCCACCACCACCACCACCTCCAAACAACCCAAACCCGAAATCCACATTAACATTACTCCCAAACCCCGAATCCCCATCCAACCCACCCTGGGTCTGACTCCCCTGCAGGAACTCGGGAAACTCATCGAGGTTAAACTCGGGAAGGGAAGGGAAGGAGGAGAAATCGAAGGTGTCGAAGGACGAGGGGTGGGGGAATGTGTTTGGGAAGGCGGGGAAGGAGGGGAAGGATGAAAGGGTGGAGAGATCGGGGAGGGAGGAGAGGTCGGGAAGTGTGGGGAGGGGGAGGTTGGGGAGAGGATAATCAGGGAATGCGGTATCAGCGACGTTCGTCATCGTCGCCGTCGTGCTGTTGTTGTTGTTGTTGTTACCACCAAGTATATCCCCCGGAGTCAACGCTTTCCCACTCCCATCAGCGAACACACCAACCGCACGTTCCTCATCCTCTTCATCCCCGAATAAACTATCCCGTTCTTCGGATTCCTCTTCAGTCAAACTCCCGGACGCCGACAACGCCGGTGTCGATGGCGACGACAGCGACGACGACGAGGACGAGGAAGAGAATCCAGAGAACGCGGAATGCAAATCCGGAATCGAAACATCCACATTCGCGTTGCCGCCAAAATACACAAGCCTGTTAGACGCATCCCCGTCCTCCTGCTCCTCGGAGCGAATAACAGGATCCGGAAACCCGAAAAACAGCGGATCGATCCATTGGTTCCCAAAGTCTTTTTCTAGTGCGAAACCCTGGGACGGCGGGGCTGAGAACCACGAATCCAACACGGGGACAGGGAAGCCGTCGAATGTTAGTGGTGGTGGTGGTGGTGGTGGGTTTTGTGTTTGTCCTTGTTGTTGTTGTTGTTGTTGTTGTTGTTGTTGTGACGGCATCGGGGTAGGATCGGACACACTCCTTGAAACCCCGGCGGAGTTGAGCGCTGTGCGGAGTCGTTTGGTTGATGGTGATACGGCGGGGAAGGAGGAAGAGGAGGAAGGGTCGGCGAAAGAAACAGCGCGTTTTCGTTTGAGATTCGAGGTTGATGGGAAAGTGGCTTCGGTCGGTGTGGTTGGTGCAGAGGATGAGGGGGTCGATGATTCGGAGGGTGAGGTGTATCTGTAATAGGACATAGTCAGTCAGTTATACTGTATGAAATAACACGGCAAAGAATACCTTTTTCGTTTCTTTCCATCACTAGAATACTCTTCTTCCTCCTCCTCTTCCTCTCTCTTAACCCCCCTACTCCTCTTCCTCCTCCTCTCCTCCTCCCTAACCTCCTTCGCCATCTCCCCCAACCCCGGCGTCCACTGCCTCACCCGACTCGTAACCGCCACCGCCAACTCCGTCGGATGCATCTTATCCCGATAAAGCATCCTCGCCGTATCCGCCATAACCGTAAACGTCTGATTCTCCGACGCACTCAGATGATTCGCATTCGCCGAAAACGCCAACCCCACATCACTCGTGTCAACAGCCGGCTTCACGAAAAACCTCGTCGCGGCAGCTACCAGCTCCTTTCGGGTTTTGTATTTCGGCACCTCGGTCATGCCGTTGACGAGGTTGTTTATTGGGTTCGGGGGTGGGCCGAGGGTTTTGTGCGGTCTTCGAACGCCTTCGGTGCCTTTGCCGTGGGTTTTGGCGCCCCCGCCTTTGAGGCCGCTGCGGCCCTCGATGAGGTTGGTCCATCCGATACGCCGCCGGACGTCGACGAACCAGGCGTCGATGAGGCGCCGGGGGGTGTTGGTGGTGGAGGCGATGGTGTCGCGGATAGAGGTGGAGGGGTAGGGGTTGTGCAGGTTGGAGAGGAGCCAGGTGTAGGAGGGCGGAATGTAGGATGGGAGGTTGCCGCTTGGGAGTTGGGAGGATGGGGATGGAGAGCGAGTGGCTCGCGACGGGGAAGGTGAGCGCGACAGTGAGGGTGGTCGTTGTTCTGCCACAAGTTTGTGCGAGAATTCGGTGATAATATCGCTTGAGTTAAGCTCCAAGGATAGGAAAGTATCACAAAGTGCTTGCATGCACTGACTGATACCTATAGCGCGGGAACTCGTGTCAAAATCTACATTTTCTTCTTCAACAATATCTCGGGATATTTTGTCCCAGGTGGATGCAAAGCTGTCCAAATCTGATTGACCCAATGCGTTAAAAAATCCGTCAAAGGATGCTGTTAAGCGATTACTGAGGTCGTCGCTGGATACCATAATTGAGGGAAATATAAAGGTCAAGCGTGAGGCGAGGCGGGGAAGCATAAATAATCAAATTTCAAACTCCGTCCATTGTTGGGCCAGCGTGAGAAATATTTGCCATTATTAGTGAACAATGGGGATTGCGACTTGGGATAAACTTGAATAATCGTATAACAAAACTCTCATTACTTGTACGATGTCTGATTTTCACGAACAACTTCGAGAGGTCCAACGCACGGTTTCTAGGACCCGAAATTTCCTGAAATCCATCCACGTGCACGATACGTCCGATGCTACATTTCTGCCTATTGAACGCCCTATTGCACCCCTACACCTTTCCTTACCCCCTACGTTTTTTCAGCAGGTTCAAGAGTATCAGCTTTCGTCGTTCGCTCGCGAGGCTTTTTCACGTCGACTTGATGAAATGCTAGAGGATTACACCGAACAGTTCGACACTTCCTGGCGTAAACTAACCGAAACTTCTGTTCCACGTCTGCGAGCTCTTTTACCGGACATCATAGCCAAACTTAGGAATGGTCTCCAACATCACTTTGAAAATCAAGGGTTGCCTAAGCTCATGGCAGAAGTCAAAGCCCACTCAGAGAATCACCCACGCCCTTCCACACCCCCACCCGCACCTCGCCAATCCTCAGTCGCAGCATACGAAGCACCCGTCCCATTCAACAACGTACGTCTCTTCCTTCCTTCCTCCTTCTATACCAAACAAACCCTTACACAGGAATACACCCCCATCCTCGAAACCTACTTCCAATACGACCCCTACCCCACCTCTCGGGACCGCCAAATCATCGCCGAGCGCTCAGGTATGACACGGCGTCAGATCGAAGTTTGGGTGAGCTACTCTCCTGTCCCTTTGTTTGTCCCTTTGTTTATTCATTTCCGTCCCGCAGTTCCAAAACCACCGCCGCACAGCACGTCAATCCGGGATAACCCTCCCAGCCAAACGTCCCCCGGGGGCTATCGCGCCGCCGGGGTTGAACGTCCCGTTCTCTGTAGGTCAAGGACACGGACAAGACGCAGACGAGTCGAGTGGGGAGAAGAGAAGAAAGGCGAGGATGTTGGATATGTTTAATATCAACTCCAAGGTTCCGAGAATTTCAGGTGGGAGTGGGCAGGGTATGACACCAGATGATCCGATTCAAATCGATGGTGCACCTGAGAGAATATCGATGATCTCTGAACATTGCGATGAGAGTCGAATGGGAATGACCCTGACCTCTGCCGGGAACGGCATCTCCGTCCTCGAACCGATCG